TGTGTGTGTGTGTGTGTGTGTGTGTGTGTGTGTGTGTGTGTGTGTGTAAGAAAAATGCTATATAAACTGGGTATATATTACGGTAGAACTATGTTAGAAACTAATTGGGGATTGAGGAATTCATTACATTGAATATCTCAATACTGCAGCAGATACAGTGCATAAATTTCAGTCTGGTGCACTGCATCACTTTCTTTTTGTCCTTCAAACCCCACAGTAAAGTGATTTCCATTGCATTGAAGGCATCAGGATGTGAAGGGATGTTGACTTGTTCTTCATCGACATCACTTTTGTTACATAATATTCTTTTCCCCTTATCAGGGAAAATGATTTGGATAAATGGTTGTTCAGAAGACTGGATTCATAAAATTGATGTTCTTCTCTGGTATAATAATATATTATTTGGATATACACTTGGGACTTAGCTGGCATAGAACCGTCTGCTGACTACACTACAGATTACATGTTGTGGAGAAGTATTGCCTTTGATTTATTTGAAATGTATTTACCCTTAATTAAATCAGGCTCCCCTTAGTTTTGTATTATGGGACTGATTCACATCACTGGATGTTTTCAGGGTCCATGACTTCTGTTTCCACTCTTATACAGGAACTCCTCACTTAAAGTCGTCCTGGTTAACGTTGTTTCAATGTTAAGTTGCTGATCAATTAGGGAACATGCTTGTTTAAAGTTGTGAAATGCTCCCTTCTAGTCGTTTGGCAGCCGCCGGTTTTGTCCACTGCTTGCAGGAAGAGCAGCCCGTTGCAGCTAGCTGGTGGGTGGTTGGAACCAGGGTGGACCAGCAGCTCCCCGTATCAGCGCCCCACTCCCCTAAGTTCCCTGTGCAGCAGCTGTCCCTTCCCACACTGCCATGTGCTGCTCCTGCCCTCTGCCTTGGAGCTGCTTCCAGAGACTCCTGCTTGCTGTACGGGGGGGAGGAGGGAAGAGGGAGACTAATGTCAGGGTGTCTCCCCCTCCCCCCTGCTCCTGAACCCCGCTTACCCCATCTTCCATAGAGCAGGGGGGACACAGACGGATGGAGGGAGCTTCTAGGCAGTAGCTGCGGGTCTCAGGTCTCAGCAAGCTGATTTAATTAACAAGGCAGTGTACTTAAGCCTGGGTCAGCTACTTAAAGGGAAAATGCGCATTCTGTCTCTCACACACAGGGTGTGTGTCTCTGTCTGCCCTCCCTCCTTTCCTGCTGCCTTGTAGAGTGTTGTGAGAGTTAACCCTTGAGGGCTCAGTCAATTGCTAGTTCATTTAGCAGTAAGGCATTCCCTGGGAAATATCCCACCCTCTGACTCCTCCACCGCAACCAAGCTTCACAATCATCATCACTGTGTACCAGTATTAAATTGTTTGTTTAAAACTTTGTGTGTATGTGTGTGTATATATAAAATATAGTCTTTTGTCTGGTGAAAAAAATGTCCCTGGAACCTAACCCCCTCATTTACATTAATTCTTATGGGGAAATTGGATTTGCTTAACATGGTTTCGCTTAAAGTCGCATTTTTAAGGAACATAACTACAACATTAAGTGAGGAGTTCCTGTACAAGCTCATCGCTGTGAGAGGATGTGACATTCTGGTTCTTGTTATGATGTAGAAGTGGTTTCTTCTGTATTGTTTCAGGTTTCAGTAACAGCTCGAGATGACGTCCCCTTCTTCGGACCCCCTCTCCCAAATCCAGCCATATTTAAAAAGGTTTGTGTCTCTGATGAGTCCTGTAAGCAAGCGATGCAGGGATTAGTTGTGTGATTTACACACTCCTTCACCTGTAGGTTGCTGTTTCCAATCTGACTTCAGGATGGGGCTGGATAACCCTGGGGGGTTAAGGAAATGTATACCCAGAGCCTTTCCTAGGTTACCATTTCCAATCTAGACTTCCTTTTTTTCCCACAGGGTCCAGAGTTTCGTGAATTCCTCTTGGCTAAGCTAATCAATGCTGAGTACAGCTGCTACCAGGCTGAAAAGTTTGCCAAACTAGAGGTGGGTCTGTGTATGTGAGTGTTTGCATTAATATTTAATAAATGCAAAAAACTGTTTTAGTGCCAGGTTAAGGCTGCACAATTAATGAAAGATATAGAAACTCTTAGGAAATTAAAGTCCCTTAAAAATAAAATAAAGTAAATTAAATGTTAACTCAGCCTTGTGGTGTTTCTTGTATGTTTTATTATATATATCTATATTAAAGTACACATTTAACCCCTCCAAAACAAGAATAGAATATCTGGTGTATGTGCAAAGTGGCTGCTACTAGAACTCTAGTGGTTACATTACCTGACTTTGTACAGTGAAAGCCACCCAATCTTAATGTTGCATTAACTTAGATTTTTGCATTTGATTCAGGGTAGATTGATTTAAATCAGCAAGTACAAAATCTTGATTTAAATACCGTAATCAATTTTAATCTTGTTTTCCATTTATACTTTTTAGTTATTTTCCTAAAGAAAGATTTATTTGCACTGGTTGATAACCATTAAAGCATATTGATTTGCAACCAAATATAATTTTTACACTAAATTTGTTACTTGTTTTTGCTAGCCAGGAGGATTCACTATATCTATACACATTTATTTAAGCAATTATATTGCTTAACATGCATTTATTTAAATTCTTAATTTTTACATTTGTTTATTAAGTTAGAAGATGTGAATTATACATTTCTTCATTTACTAGATTTTTTTGTGTGTGATTTGTGTCAAGCTGTAGTTGGATGGAAATTGGAATATAGTTTAAACTACTTAATAAATTAAAAAAGTAAGTTTATCAGAACATGTTTGCATTTAAAATCAACTGATTTACTAAACAAAGTAAGTATCCTCTGCAGTGAGTGAACTGTACTATTTTTTCTGGCAACATGTCCTTCAAGGCTTTAGAACTAGTAGGCCTCATCTTCACACCTAGTTTTTATTCATAGATTGGAAGAGGGAGACAAGCTTTCCTGCTTTTTAAACTCCCGGTCCATTTTTTAACTTTGAATGAACTAGTCATTGAACAGAACTAGTTGAATAAACTGAAATGAAGAAAATAGTCGTGCTGTGCCTGCAAAAGACTATCAATAGCTAGCACTTCAACAAACTCTGGTTCCAGGTGCTTAGCCAGTGTCTTCCACCTGTTCAGCAGTGTGACATTCTTTAAAACTTTGGCAGCAAACATGTACTGATTAAGATTATATTTTGTAAATTTAGTTTAAATTATTTTTAACATAGGTTGTCATAATTTCAAATAGGTTTATTTTTAAGAACAAAAATGTATTTAATTTAAAGAAAGAAAATCTGATTTAAATGAAGAAACTTATTTATTTATTTATTTATTTTAAATAATCAGTTTTTATCCACCCTGATTTCATTTCCTAGGCTCTTCTAAGACGGGCTGAGGGAAATGGAAAACAGAAGAAATGAAGAAAAAGGGCACAAAAAATAGCTTAAGGCAGTATATCTGCCTTCAGAGTTGGGGGAGAATAAGGAAGTTAGAGAAGGGTCCACATTTGGAAGAAATCATATTCCTCTTAACACTAGAGAAAGTGGGATGTATCAATTATATCTGAAATATAGGAGAGTTCATTCTCTCTCTCCCCCTCTCTCAGTGCTCTGTCCTTTCTTTTTTCTGTTATTCTATTCTGTCCCTTTTCTCCCACTCTCTCTCTCTGCCCTGGTGTAGGAGCGGACTCGCAGTGCCCTCCTAGAGAGCCTTTTTGAGGAGCTGCAGCTCCATAGCCGCAGCATGATGGGCCTGGCCTCTGGGGACGATGACAAGATGGAGAATGGGGGTGGTGGCTTCTTTGAAAATTTCAAGGTGAGAAATCAAGAACTGCTGCAGCCTCTTAAACCAACCCCTCTTTCAGAGCGGCTGCCACCCAGCTCAGTCCCCGTTCAGGATACATCAGCCCTGTTGGGCACGTGTGCTTGGGGTGGCAGGGAGTGGGGGGAAATGTGGCTCCTTCTCAACAGCCACATTTTGCAATGTATTTTTATATACCTCACAAAGAGAAATGCAGCTTCTCCCTCCCCACTCAGGGGAGATGCAGCTTGGCACAGTACAGCATCCCATGCTGTTCCTAATGTGAAGCCTCTGGGTGGGATGAAATGAAGCCCTAGACCCCCTGGCCCTAGCCTTGGCCCTGGCTGGCATCTAGTGGCAGGGAGGACCCAATTCCCCGATGTATAGAAAAGAGATCAGGAGCTTGCAGAAGGAAGTATGATGGGCTCGGGGGGCAGAGCCTTTTGTCCCCCAGCAGCACACTGGCTCCAGCCTAGCTCCAGGACAGCAGCAGCAGCTGGGAAGGTCCCATCTGATGGTTGTTTCTAACACAACTGTTGCTGTAGTATCTAGATGCTTTGGAATACTGAGATACATCTTTTTCCCTCTAAAAGCACAAGCTCTTTTTTGTATGATGAGGTGGTATCAATGGCCAATCTCCAGGAGCGCAGGGTCAGGGTGATGTGAAGGAGGGAACGAATATACCAGTGATACTCAGATCTCAATGGTTCAGAAGCCAAATTAGTGATCAACATTACCCAAAAGAGCCACAGTAGTATGAATTCATTGTTTTATTTACTTTCTTTCTCTCTCTTTATATATACTATTCTCACAGCAAAATGACTGACTAAGTATTCTACAATAAAAGCATCCTGATTGATTAATAACTTAGCTTGGTTAATAAATAATTGAATCATGGTATTTTAATATCATGTGCTGCAAAGAGCTGCAGGAGACACATTGAAGAGCAACTTGCAGCTCCTGAGCCGCCTGTCTGAGTACCACTGGCCTACTTAAACAGGAGGGAATGAGTGTGCTGGTTCTCACTCCACTGCCTGCATCCAGGGCCGTCCTTACCCATACGCAAAATACTCAGCTGCGTGCTGTTACAACCCCTGCTCCGGCTCTTCCCCAGGGCCCCCGCCCCTGCTCCGCCCCTGCCTCTTCCCAGCCCTGCCTCTTCCCGCTCCCGCCCCACCCCAGCCCACCCCACTCCCCTGAGGACTCCAGAAGCGGTCAGGCCTGCAGTCACCGGTAAATAGAGCGACCTGGCCCCAGCCTGCTCCACTCCCCTGGCTCCCAGCTGCACCGCCGGCGAGTGCTGGGGGGCGGTTCCCCCCTGCCCCCCAAGCCTGGGAGCCAGAGGAGCAGAGCAGGCTGGGGCTGGATCACTCCACTTCCCGCAGAAAGTGACCAGTCCTCCTCCCCCCATCCCCCACGGAGGCCTGGGGCCAGTCCCCCACTCCCTCCCACAGAGGCCTGGGGCCAGCTGCCCCCCCCGCTCCTCCCCATGGAGGCCTGGGGCGGGGCCCCCCATAGCCCCCCCACAGAGGCCTGGGGCCCCACACAGCCCCCCGTGAGGGGGCTGCGTAGGGCACCAAAATAGCTAGGCACAGCCCTGCCTCCATCTCTCTTCCTTTCTTCTTGCACCATGTGTGGTACATGCCTAGTGGGACAGACAGCCATATCACAGGTACCAGCATCTCACTTGGCACTGTCAGCCCCCTTGGTTGGCAGCCCTCATCAGAATTGCTGGGGACAAAATGGGCCAACTCCCCACTCACCTGTAGAGGTGGTTGGTGCAGGTCATGGCTGAGTCCCATTGGTAGGGTGTGTTTGAATGATTAGCTTACTGCCCTTGCAGCATCTGTTCGGTGGATAAATAGAAAATTTCAGACTCTGTCCAGCGCCTGTTGGCATATACCCCAAAATCTGTTTTTCTGGCCTCTGGCAGCTGCTGCACATCGCTGTGTTCAGACAGCCTTTTAAGGAGCTGGAGAAGAGGGAGGGGGCCTGTGAAGTGGCTTTTTCAGAGTACTCTGGTTTCGGTGGAGCAGCTTCTCTCTCATGGCCATTGCATAGGCTTGCATGGGACTGAGCCCTCCAGCCTTACATGGGGATTTGGTCCCTTTTCTTGCACTGGGTATGACTGTGTGAGGTAATGCTGGCTTTTTAGGAAAGTTGTAGTGTTGGTGGGGAATCTCTTTATCGCCTGCAGGAGGATGGGGGACACTGAGAGAAGAGGGAACAATCTTTCACTGACCCGGGGGCAAATAGACAAGATGGGACCAAACAGGCCTTTCCCATGGGTAATTTTTGGTCTGCTGAGCTCTAGTGGGGAGGGAGGATATTTCTGGTACTGGTGTCTGTCCCCCCCTCTACTCCCCTCCGTGGTGTTCTTCATACTGTCCTTATGTGTGTCTGTGTGTGTGTCTGTGTCTCTTCGTCTGTCTCTCTGTCTCCCTTCTGTCCAGCGGGTGATCCGAGGCCGCAGCCAGAGCCTGGATACCATGGGGATAGCCATGAGGAAACAACAGCAGCCGGCAACCCCGCCCAGCCGCCCGGCTACTGCCGGCCTTGCTCTCAACCAGAGTGTCGCCGAGGGCACCAAGGCTATTGCTGCGGTAAGGTACCGGGAGGGAGTGCCATTGGAAAGGGCCAAGCATGTCTCTGATCCTCCATGATCCACCCACACATTTTGTCCCTCTATCCCTATTAGTGTGTCCCTCTGTGAATCTTTTCTGTTTATATCACTCCATTTCTGTCTCTGTGTGTCTGACTGGGTGTTTTTTTGTGTATCTCTCTTGTGCTGAGTCTGTGTCTCTGTTTTGTCTTCATTTATGTCTCTGGGTCCCGTTCATCTACACACTGGATCTGAGCTTGGCACAGGGCTTGAGAGGAAGGGCAGAGGTGGCTTGACATCACCCTTGTGCCTCCCTTATCCTGGACTAGCTGTGGATCTGCATGCTGCCCTAACTGAAAAAAGACCATACACCTTGATTTTATCAAGACAGTCCCGGTTTTTTATATGATGAGAACTGAGAACTTCAGGATGCTGGAACTGATTCAGTGTTTCACTTCATCAATCAAATGTTCATTTTTTAATAACTACAAAATGTATGTTCCAGTCATATTGCTATGCTGAGTAGAATTCACTTGTCAGGAACAACAGTTCAGTGGAACAAGCACTCAGAGGGATGAACAGTATTTGCAGTGAGAGAAAAGTTAGATGAGCACAGGCTCTGCCAAAACCATTCTTTTACTTGATGTGACTGTTAAGGATACTTAGTTGGTGTTGCATGATAAACTCATTCAGAGCACTACATTCCAGGAGAAATGCTCCATTCTGAGAAATATGCTTGTGTCACTGACAGAAGTAACACCTAGTTGTATAAGAAAAAGTGCACTCATGTCTTCTGTATGAATATTTCATGACCCTCGAAAATGTTGCCACAAAAGTGTCCTGGTTTCTGATTCTGAAAATATGGTTACCCTAGCTAACTCGCACCTGGCTGCCCAAGGCTTCTGCACTGGGGCTCCAGCAGGGCTGGTGTAGTGCCAAAAACACCAGCTCTGTGTCAACCAGGGAGGTCCCTTTCTTTGGGGAATTGCAGCCCAGGGGACAGATGTTGTAGCTTTACAGATCCTTTATGTCTGCACTAAGAAGCCATAGAGTAGTGATGAGCTGGGCCCTTCCTCTCTCTCTCTGAGTCTGTATGTCTGTTTGTTTCTTTGGGCTTGTCTACACTGCGACATTGTCAACAAAACTTTTGTCTTTTACAGGTACTTTAAAAAGCCCCCCCCCGCGAAAGACAAAAATTTTGCCGACGCAAGTGGCAGTGTGAATGCAGCTTTGTCAGCAGGAGTGCTCTCCTGCCTACAAAGCTAACGCCGCTCACTGGGCTGGAAGTATTGCGTCGGCAAAAGTGCCGACAAAATACCGACAGAGAGCGTTCACACACGCTGACTTTTTAGCCACAGCCTTGTCGCTAAAAGCTGCATAGTGTAGACAAGCCCTTTGTGTCTCCTTTCAATCTGAGTTTATGCCTCTCTTCCAAACTCTTTCTGTGTCTCTCTTTATGACGTAACTCTCTGCCTGAGCCTCTGTCTCTCATTCCATTTCTCTCACTCTGTCTCTTGTCTTTCTGCGTCTCATTCTGCCTGTCTGTTTTTCTTCCTCTCTGTCTCTCTTAGCATCTGTGTTCAGGGCTGGATTAACGTGGGCCCGGGACTATTAGATTTTGTGTGGGCCCTGTATACAAGTCTTTTTCCTGGGAGGGAGTTTGGTGCAGGAGGGGGCTGGGGCAGGGGATTGGGGTGCAGGAGCGGGTGTGAGGTCTGGAATGGAGTTTGGGTTCAGGAGAGGGATTCTGATCTGGGGCAGGGGGTTGGGATGGAAGAAGGGGTGTGAGGTGCAGACTCTGGCTGGGAGGCGCTTACCACAGGCAGCTCCCGGCCCGGCGGCGCAGCAGGCTGCCTGCATGCCGTGGTCCCACGCTGCTCCCAGAAGCGGCTGGCTACTAGTACGTCTCTGCGGCCCCTGGGGGAGGGGGACAGTGTGTCTCCATGCACTGCCCGCACCTGCAAGCACCATCCCCTTAGGGGGACGGTGCTGGGGGCGGTGGCAGCGTGCGGAACTGCCTCCCCACCCCTGCCAGGGACCGCAGAGACGTGCTAGCAGCAGGCCGCTTATGGGAGTGGTGTGGAGCCACGGCATGCAGGCAGCCTGCCTGAGCGCCCTGCTGCGCTGTGGGACTTTTAGTGGCCCGGAGTTGGAGATCGCTGCCTGTGATTTATTTTTGCGGGGCTCCCCTTGAGCCGGGGCCTTGGGCTGCAGCCCCTAAAGCCCCTGCCTGTGTTGAACCCTCACTTCCTCCCCTCTCTTCCTCACTGACAGCTTGTAGGAGTTCTTCCTTCACATTCTGGTTCCTTGGGGGCTCTGGGCAGCACTATTACATATCAGAGATGATGCAAGAAGAGGGTCTGGGATCCAGGTTGCACACTCCCTCTCCCCCTCCTCCAGTACTCCACTGCTTTGTCTCTCACACTCCCCTCCCTCCTTCCTATAACTTCCTTACTCGCCTTCTCTCTAGTCCTTCGCCCTGCCTGGGAGGAGCCCATCACGCACCCGAGGCAGCCACTTCCACGGGCGTCGCAGCAGTGCCATTGGCATTGAGAACATCCAGGAGGAGAAGAGGTAAGAGCTGTGGGAATGGATGGGATGGAGTGGGGTGGGATGAAGGGTGCTGGGGCAGCGGAAGAGAGAGGAGAGATGGAAGGAACTGGGACCAAGGGGAGATGGAGGATGGTGAAGGTTGGGGGAGGCAAGAAAAGGGGAGATGGAGAGGTGGGATCAAAGGAACAGGAATGGGAGCAGACTGCAGGAGAAAATAGGCCTGGGACCCAGGGGAACTGAGAGGAAGTAGGAAGGGAAAGAAGTAGGGGAGGGGTAGACAAGGGAAACGGGAGGGAGGCAAGACCAGAGTGAAGGGGAGGAGAGAGGGGAACAGGAATGTAGATGACAGGACCTTCATCAAACAGAGTAGAAGATGATCCAGGATTCCTGCCCGTCCTGTTCCATCCCTGCTGTGACAGAAACAGTTCTGCTGTGCGCATATGAGAGGAGAGTGGAGAAAAATTTTTTTTTTTCCATTTTTTTAAAATAGTAACTAAATCTTGTGACTTTTAAAAGAAATACTTGTGCAACTTTTCTAAACATGCTATAATCAAAATGGCTGAATTTTGAGGTTTGCCGACTATCACAGAAGTAGCCTTCACTGAGGAGCAGAGCACAGCCTTTTTCCAGGGCTTGATGTAGCTGAGTTATGAGCATTTGAAAATTGCACACTGAGCAGTACAGGTTATTTTGTTAAGCTCTTAATGGGCCCCTAAAGGGGTGCTGTGCATCAGGGGTTCAGTGTATACCAGATCCAAAGCCCAGTCCTTTGAACTGCTCTATACGCCACATGAAACCTTCCCAATTGTTCATGAAATCCAGGAATCTGTCAAAGGGCTCAGTGTAGAGGAGAAGAGAACCCCCTCTCCCAGAATGTAGACAGCTGTGACCATCACCATGGGTAAAATCTGTGCCTGTGAAGTCTCTCCGCATGTCTCTTTCTCTTGCCCTTTCTTAAGAGAGACACTGACAGACTTATTTTTATTTAAAATGATGTATTTTTTTAGAACAATAAATTATATGGAGGCAAGTTCCCATTAACAATGTATCTAAAATAAAAAACTGTCACAACACTCGCACTTTTTGTGGCTTACCTTTAACAACAATTTTACATCTTGTATAAATACATTCCTCAGCCCAGCCCTTTATATGTTACTCACCTCCCTATCCTCTTCAAAGATGTTTAAAGATTTCCTGCAAAGGTGGAAAAATGGGTCTGTGCCCTTATTTGCTTCTTTATAATACAGAAAGAAGGTGTTGGGTTTCTTTAGATTTTCTTCTGTTTGTTGTCACCTTAGATATATCAGGAATGCTAAGCCTGCTTTTCCCTGCATTTGCTGGTTGACTCATCAGATGACTTGAGATGAAGACTGGGAGTTTTCTCAGCTCCTAATTGAAGGGGCTGCACTGCAGAATAATTCACACAAAGAGATTTCCTCACAAATATATTAGTTAAATAGGTGTCAGCAAAAACACAAGTTTGATACAGTCTGAAAGAAAAACCACTGCTGCTCTCAGTTAGTCAAATGTCACCTCCTTGGTATGTTTGACACTATAAAAATACTAAATCTCCAGTCAACTGTAGAGTCTTCCAGGTTAGATAAGATCTGAATTTCTAGTGGGATGGGGGTGGGGGGAGCAAGTTGAGAAGAAATTTTGAAATCTTAAACCCTTTCAGGTCTTTTATTTTTTATCATAAAGAAGCATAAAAAGGCCCAGTCCTGATATGTTCTTCTTTTGTAGACTATTTAAGAAGATTGCTGTGTTCCAAACTGCCCCAACCTGCACCTTGTACCTGTGTCCCCCATAGAAATCCCTCTCTGTATTTCCTCTTGTAGGAAGCATTAAGTAACCCAGTGGTAACTCATGTCTCATGTAGCTGGTTTTCCTTTCACCCCAGTAGGGATGTTGCTGACAGAATCCAGAAGGTGCTGGAGAGTCCAGGACCCTTTTTTGACCTGAAGTCTGATGGCTCCTCCAGTCCCAGTTCCCCAGAGTTCCCAAACAGGAAGAACAAGTGAGTTGAAAATGGTCTTTCTGTTCAGGAGAAACTCTTGGTGTCCCTGGGGAAGGCTTCAGCATGGCAGGTGTCTCACTTTTTATCCCCTCACATAGGTACCTTGAATGTGATCGCTAGTTGTTAGAGCCAGGGATCGGGAGCCAGTTCTGCCAGGTTCTATTCCTGGCTCTGACACTGACCATGGATGAGTGAGTTCCCCTCTCTGGATGATCCCCCCATCAATATGGATGATTACAATAAAGCTGCCCCACAGCGACTTGTAAGGCTTTGTTACTGTCTGCAAAGCACTGGAAGGGTCTTGGGTGGATGGTGCAAAATGAGATCTGTGTATCGCAATGATGGTGATAACTTTGGACTTGGATTTCAGAACCCTCTCCAATCAAACCTTGGGATATTGTGCGATGCAGCCACTCTCACGCTCCTCATCCAACGTGAGCAGCTGCTGTAGTGGAGTGAGGGAAAATGAAACATCTGAGGAAGAGGAGAATGAGACGGTGAGTGTAGGATTTATGAGCCCTAAAATACAGAGATTCCCTCCCCCTCACCGGGTCCCCCCTTCTCCTGCTTACCCCTAACACCAGCTATGTCCTGTGATGATAATTGGGGCCTAGTAGGTCTACCCTGGTTGTGAGCCTAATTGTGGGCAAGTGGATAAAAGTTTGTAAAGTATTACAATAATCTATAACAATGAATGCTGATAGGAAAAGCTGGAAAAGGTACACAAACAGAGTGAATTAGTCCGAACGAGAAGACCCAGTGATATAACTCAAGGACTATGTTAAATTCATGCCTGGAAAACAAAGTGTGGGACTGGAAGTCAATGGACCAAATTAGTGTATCAGAAATTAGGCCTAATTGGTGGGCAAAATAATCATAGAATAGAAGTATAGAAGTGTAGGACTGGAAGGGACCTCAGTAGGTCATCTAGTCCATTCCCCTGCACTCAAGTCAGGACTGAGTAATAACTAGACCATTCCTGACAGATGTTTGTCTAATGTGTTCTGAAAAACCTCCAGTGACGGTGTGACGTTCCCCTGGTGTTATCTGGACTCTGGGAGCCAGCCTTACCCTGTTCTGCTGTGAGAACCCCCACTCCCAGGCTGTTCACACACAGCCTCTAGCATGTAAGCTGCTCCCATCTATGTGAGTGAGCACTTTTGGCCAGCCGCTGCTTGGATTGTGCAACCAAATGACGCTAGCCAATATCTCCGGTCCCAGACACAACACTAGGAACCTCCGTCTTGCAGTGTCCAGTTATGCCCGCTGGACACTGCAAGTTTTTATGAATTCGTCAATTTAACAAAGAAATTGATATGTACCAGCTTGTCATCCCAAGGGGAGTCTCTGACACGCTTCAAACCAAATGCACTGGTTCAGGTAGAATAAACAAACATATTTATTAACTACAAAAGATAGATTTTAATTGATTATAAGTCAAAGCACAAGTCAGATTTGGTCAAATGAAATAAAAGCAAAACGCATTCTAAACTGATCTTAACACTTTCAGTGCCCTTACAAACTTAGATGCTTCTCACCACAGGCTGGCTGGTTGCCGTTCAGCCAGGCTCTCCCCTTTGATCAGCGCTTCAGTCACTTGGTGATAGTGTCTGTAGATGGAGGTGGAAGAGAGAGAGAGCATGGCAAGCATCTCTCCCTTTTATCATGTCTTTTCTTCCCTCTTGGCTTTGCCGCCTCCCCCGCCCCCCCGCCACTTCAGAGTCAGGTAATCCTCATCGTAGTCCCAAACTGACCAAGGGAAGGGGGATGACTCACTCAAGAGTCCAACAGATCCATTGTTGCTGCCTAGGACAGTGTTCTTTGTTCCTGTGAGGCTGGGCTGGGTTTGTCTCATATATGCCCTGATGAGGTGTGAACTGCCCCTCTGCTCCTGGAGAGTTTTGCCTGGGCTTGTTTTAAGCCATGAGGTCACATTTTCAGCCTCATAACTATATACACAAAATAACAACAATGCTCAGTGCATCATGAGCCTTCCGAAGACACCCAACATGACAAACTTTGCATTGGATACCACACAATCTATTATAAGGATGAACATGGGGGTGCAGGGTGTTCCCCCGAGGTACAGAGCGTCACAGACGGAGATTCCACAACTTCCCCAGGCAATTTATTCCAGTGCTTTACTACCCTGACAGTTAGGAAGTTTTTCCTAATGTCCAACCTAAACCTCCCTTGCTGCAATTTAAGCCCATTGCTTCTTGTCCTATCCTCAGAGGTTAAGAACAATTTTTTCACCCATCTCCTTTTAACAACCTTTTATGTACTTGAAAACTGTTCTCCCCTCAGTCTTCTTCAGAGTAAACAAACCCAATTTTTTCAATCTTCCCTCATAGGTCATGTTTTCTAGACCTTTAATAATTTTTGTTGCTCGCCTCTGGACTTTCTACAATTTGTCCACATCTTTCCTGAAATGTGGCTCCCAGAACTGGACACAGTAATCCAGCTGAGGCTTTATCAGCGCAGAGTAGAGCGGAAGAATTACTTCTCATGTCTTGTGTGACGATGCGGTTCTGGCGGAACCCAACTGAGAGTGCCAACTCAG